AAGACCCGTTTTCAAATAAAAATCAGAAATGGCCGAGGATGTAGCTCAGTGGTAAAGCATCCCTGATTTCAAACTCCAGTACCCCCAAAAAGAGGAACATATTCCTGTTTTAAATGGCACCTTTCTATATGCCTATGATATTTAGGAGGAGGAGGAGGAGGAGGAGGAGGAGGAGGAGGAGATGATGATTGTGAAACCCTAAAAAATACATGAAATAAAAGTATAAATTCTCTAGTTGAAAATGAGCAATATGGAATCCAGGGTCCAATCCTCTTAAATCTCCTTTACCTCCTCAACAGTTCTTGAATTGCTTTTACTAAAGGATTAGGTCTCCACAGAATGTATAGAAAAATTTTGGTTCAACTCATTAAAACCTAAAAGATTCATGTGCTAGTCTAAAATAAGAGCTGGGTGTGGTGGTGTATGTGTGTGATCTCAGTGACACAGGAGGCTGAGGGAGGAGAATGGCAAGTTTGAGGTCAGCCTTTACAACTTAGGGATTCCTGTCTCAAAATAAAAATTAAAAAGAGCCGGAGATGTAGGTCAGTGATAAAGCACCCTGGGTTTATAGCCTAGTACCACAAAAAAAAAAAAAAAATTGGGCCCTTGTGCATATGCAAGTGTGTGTCAGAGCTGCATGCCTATTAATGATTCAGAGCCCATATGATATACATACATATACTTTTTAGTGATATTTTGGTCATCAACAGAATCCTTATGATACAGTGTTCTCATAAATTATAATGTAGCTGAAAATTTTCTATTGATTACAATTTTGACTATACATTTTCTCTGTTTAGATGCGCAAATACCATTGAGGGGATAATTGCCTACAGTATAATGGCATGATGTACAGGTTTGTAGCTGAGGAGCAACAGGCTGTATAGAGAGCCTAAGAATGTATGTGGTGGGCTATCCTATCTACATTTTTGTATATTCACTGTGACATTCACAACAATGAATTCATCTAATGGTGCATTTTGTAGAACATGTTCCTGTTTTCCATGGCATATTTCTATATGCCTATGATATTCAGGCATATAGTAATTAATCCAGGAGTGCTGTATTCTGCTTTGCCTGAAGTCAAGGTATACTAGTCTCACAGAGAAACCTTTCAGAGAGAAAGGTAAAAGAAGTTTAGTCTGTGAACAAAACAAAACAAAGATGCACGTACAACATTTATTTTCTTTTTCTGAAATCATCACTCATTCTGTTTTCATAACAGAATGTGATTCTTTGCCATTTCCTTTGCTTGTTCTTATGCTGCTTCAGAATCTGAATTATTAATTCAACAAATATTTGACAGACTTCTAGAAGGAAGTTAGTTYTAAGATCTTGAGATCTAATTGTGAGTTCATGGGTATGTAAGTTAGCTGGATATATCCATTCCAGAATGCATAGTTATATCAACACATCGCATTTTGCTCCTTGAATATATGCAATAATTATTCAGCAATTAAAACTAACATTCAATGAAAAAAGACAAAGTTTCTGCCATCATGGAATTCTACTTTTAAAAACTCACTACATAAAATAAAATATTTCTGGGGCATTGTCAAAGAGATTGAAGAAATTTCCAAGGTGGCATTTCAAAAAAGTTCTTAGATTGTGATACACAGAAGAAAATACTATTTTTAGTGCTAACATTTGTTTTTAAAGTTAGCTTATGTAGGACGTTATATAGTCTTGGTAACAAACTTTTACTGAACAAGAATATGCCTTTTTCAGCACCTTTTATTCTTCACCATGTGGCCATTAATATTATATAACACAATTCAGATGGACACATCACTTGGGGAGATTGTATGATTTCCTYACTCTCTAGGTTTGGCCAGCTCATGCTACTCTATTGTATCAGTAATTATTTTAGTCTCTCAGGCCATTAGTGCTAATCACAGTACCTTTTGCTATAAAAATACAATATTCCATTATAGCAAAGTTCACAAATATTTTTTTAGTCCTGCAATGCACATTGTCCATCAAAACAGTAAATGTCTCCTTCATATATTACTGTCTTAGACTTGTAGTTGAGTATATAGTATGAAAGAGAATTGTAATGAAGCCATAGTATAATACTAAATATTTGCTTGGACTTAAAAAAAAGTTAGCCTCTTATTATATTCAGTATTCTGATATTTGAGATTACACAGAAAACTACATCCAAATGAGTGTCTGAAATCATTCACTTCTCTTCAGAACAGGTTGTCATTGGAGAGATACAGTCAGCATTCATTTAGGTCTTGTACATTTTAGGCACTAGTTTAATTTACATAGTTAATGCACATAATAGGAAGGACAAAGTCCAAAACAAGTTTCTAACTTAGAAATGAGCACATAGTATTTGATTAGTATTTTAAAATTTACAGAATACATCAAAATAACTAGAGAGAAATCAAATTTCTGTTAGTTTGGTAATACCTATATCAAAACAAGTTATTCCATTGGACAATGCTTTTTTCTATAGGAATCAGTCCATACACTGTAAGATATAAGTAGTTTTTCATTGTTTATGATTACAGATACATAATCCAAWTATATTATCGATAGTCAACATTTCAGGTAATATTTCTTCCATATGAGGATAGTTAGAACCTAAATTGTAATTCTTCAAAACACCATCTGTTTATATAATTGGCAATTAATACTGATAATTAGTAATGAAGCCTATTTTATAAACAAAACCACACATGTCAGTAAAACATTTTAAGCCTCTCTGGTCCTATTTTAAAGCAATTAAAGGACCAAGAGAAATGAAATATGTTAATTAAAGTACAGTGATGGATCATATTAAAAAGCACCCCCCTACTTAACCATTAAAAGGAATTCCCAGAATATTTCTTTAAAATACTTATAGAAATCTCATGATACCAGTTTTTTTTTTTTGGAGGGGAGGGAGAGAAGGGGTTGAATTTATGCAATAAATATAGCATGATAAACCCTGCAGAATGCATAAGGCTGTGTATTTTTAATGTACATTATAATGATTCAAAGCCCATTTGATCAAGGTAGTAATTAAGAAGAGCAAATGAATTACATTGTCACATACTAGAATAGTGATTCAGAACACAGAAAAAAATAATCAAGTATGAAACTGCTCATACTTCATTAATAATAAGACAAATCCTTATTTTTCAATGTTATCTCTCATAACAACTTTAGATGTCTCAAAACATTCTGAGTTAAGAAAACTGGTGATCAATGTTTCATAGAACCCATAGGGACTAGGACAAAAGTTTAAGACAAGAGGATGGGTGACAGAGTATTTCTAATTTAAAGCTAAATTATCTCCTTTCCTTTTGTAAAAGGAGATGGATAGGGTACCTGAATACAGTGGGAAAATTATAAGCAACCAGAGTCTGGAGACTAGTACCCCACTCCCTGGTAGAACAAAATGATCTTTTTTTGCCTTTCTTTCTTTCTTGTTTATCTTTTTTCTTTTTCTTTTTTTTTTTTTTCTTTTTGAATGTGAATTGAGTCAACTGGAATTTCTGACCTGAGTCTTTTATTTTATCTTGGCTGCTTCAGCTGAAAATTGTATGGATCTTTTAAAATATCATTTATTTTCTGATTAGGCTGTTGTATGAAAAATATTGATAAAGAATACTGAGCTACTTTGCAAGTAGAATTGCTACATAACTATACAACATTTCTTTTACTACTAGTGATATTTTTAAATTCTCCAAATCACTACATTTCTTCAAATATGCCATTGTGCTCAAATTAATACCATTCTATCCTAGAATAAGTACTTCTACTGATTACAAATTAAATTTTCATTTAATATGTTTTTATAAACTTCCATATAAGAAAGTCCAAATGTATTCATTTTGGCTTTAGAGATTCATTTTATAAAATCTGTGGTTTTATATGCTTTCTGAATTTATAAAATGTGTCTGTTACTCCATTAATTTGAGTCTGCAAGTTTGATGCTCCATTGATTCTACCAGATTATTATTCAAGTGTCAATTCCCTTTGATTCTGAGCTTTTTTCAGATTTGAATGCAGTTATTTAATACTGACATCCACATGTAGAAATCTAGTTTGGAGGATTAAAACATAACAGTGATTACTTTCAATAATACATTAATTTAAAAATATGAGTCTTTTTATTTTGTGTGTCTACATAGCTATTTTACTTTATTTAAATACCCATTTTTAAATATATAATGTCTTCTTGCTTATTCTATTTTAGAACCTTCCTCCTATTCTATATTCCACTACTCAAATTCATATCAAAATTTGTGCTGCTCATTTCAAATAGCTGGATTTCTAGCATGGAATAATTCTAGTAGAGAGAAACATATGTATTAAGATGCGTCTACAAAATGTAAAAGAAAAAGAGAATGTGTCAGAAATTTGGCTATTCATTCAAATATTTTGTCTACATGATGCAAAACCTATTTAATAACTTCTGTTACCTGTATACATCCTTGACAAAATTGCCTTGGCATTTTTTACATAAAATAATTATTATTGGTTCAAAAGAATAAGGACAGCAACAACCACAATGACATGAAGAATGTATTCAGGTAGAGAAAATTCCAATCTTGGGTAAAGKGACCCCAGTTTGCTAGTATAGACTGAAATCTTTATAACATGGTTGTGATTTGAATTTTCAGAATACTGAAGACCCACAACAGTTAATTATCCTCCAGTTGATTTCAACAACTAGATCATAAAACAACTAGTATCAGATATGCAAATGAATAAAATAATTAAAAGTTATGTTGCATTTTAGTTCAAAACAGGGCAATTTATACTGGGCAATTTGGTGATGACATTGAAATACTTATGATTAGAAATCCTCTTCCAGTAGGTTATTGCTCAAGGATCATAATCAGCTTGGAAACTTTCAGACTACGTGGAGATTACTTTATAAAGTTACATAAAATCGTGAAAAAATGCATGCTTTAGAAATTTAGTATTTCCATCAAGCTTGTTGTCTAAAAAGAGTATGAATACAAGAGCAAATGGATGTTTTAGACACAGTTTCTTGGTATTTACAGTATTTTCTCTTCTCTTGCCGCCATCCCTTCAAAGCTGGTTAATTGTTTCTCTGGAGCCTTTTTCACCTCACATTCAGAACACAGAGGCATTTGCAATTTCTGTCAAATAACATAGAAACGCAATTAGAAGAATCAAAATAAAACCATTTTTAAGGTAAAAATAWAAAATCCTAAAGGATGGTAATGAAAATCCAAATCTAAATCAACTCCTTTTGGAAAACTAATCACAGACACAAATCAAACGTGTCAAATTGCTAATACTTTTACTTTCATGGAAGTTAACAATTTGTACAGAAATAGCCGGACTTCCAATTACTGCTTTCAGAAAATTTTGATTGAACCATTCATGTCTGATCAATCTAACCCTAATAAAACTTAAGATTGCTGTAATGGAATATTTTTTGGTTACTTATAAAGCAATACAGAAGAGAATTCAGAATGAAGCCTTTGAGTTGTGTTGATAGGTTTTTTTTTTTTTTTTTTTTTTTTTTTTTTTTTTTTTGCAGGGGGAGGTGGGATAGGTACCCCTTTCCACCTTGCTTTCCAAAATCTTCTTTATTCTTTTTCATCCCATAGGAAGTTTATTTTGCATGTATTTTGTACTCTGTTTACACACACACACACACACACACACACACACATATACATATATACATTTTGTATGTACATATACATATTTTTGGTTGTGGCGTGGCTGAAGGTGAGGGAGAGCTCCTTCACCGTGAATCTTATGAGAATCTTTAGTAGAAAGCACAGGGCCCTGCACAGGTCCAATGGCCCTTGTTAAGGAACTCTCTAGTACTAGTCAGTACCACCCCCCACTCCAGCTAAAGCAAATGCACTGAGTGCAATGGATCCAAGAAGTACTTCCCAACATAATCAAAACAAAACAGACCAAGAAAGCACATACCTGTGGGACAGGCTGTGATTCTGCAGTTGCATTTCTCGGGGGACTGTCCTTGTGTTTTGTTAAACAGGTCCTGCCCTCCTAAAAAAGTGGCAAATAAAAATAGGTCAATTGAGTTAAATTAAACAAAGAAAAGTGGGAGCAAAACTCTTTTGAAAAATTCCCTTTAAAAAGTTCCCATCACTTTGATGAACACTGAAAGGGAAGCTAGGGACAGAATCAGTACAGCGTGAGTGGGATTTCAATGCCAGATCAAGTTTTCATGGTCAGTTTTGAGATCTCAGCAGTGCTTATGGAAATCAGCTGCTACAAAGAAGTTCAATTCCAACAGAAATCTTGTTTCCTTTTTTTGAAAGTTAAAAATAAGGGAAGAATTTTAGAACTACTATATTTTTGATGCGTGTGGACTCAAAAATTTAAAAATGTCAATAACCTCTGTGCTGTAGGAATAACAATATTGCAAGCCAGGAAGCAAGTGAAATGATACTATCATCAATATGTCTCACAAAAAGTCTTCAGTATCATGACAAAATATGTTATTTTTAGAACTTAAATTTTACTAACCAATGAACTTCATTTTACTATTATTATCATCAATTATGTTGGCAATCAAAAATATTCCATTTCAGCCTCATTTTTGGTGTCACCTACTCAAACTCAGATTTTCTTTTCACCATCACTATTAAGTACACACAAACACAAAACTTTTTGTCAGATCAATATTTTCTTTGCCTGATTTCCCAATAGTACTTTTAGTATTTATCATTTTCTTTAATTCTTATTGCTATAACCTAAAATAGAATTCCAACTCATAGAAAGAGACAAAAAGTGCTATTTGTATAAGAGATTTTATGACTAAGCACAACAAGGTTGTGTTTAAACCCATTGACTAAGAAGTACATGATTTCCCAATACTCAAATTCTTAAATTTACTATTACTTCTTTTGTGGTCTTGGACAAAGTACTCAATTTTTCTCAATCTCAATTCTCATATATATATATATATAATTATTTATTTTTTTTCCAGTGAGAAACTGTTTGCTCCTAAGTATTCACAGGAATTAAAATATTTAGGGCACGTATCTCAGTGCACCTAAACCTACTAAGATTTCAGTACATTGTCTACCACATTAATGATGAAAATTATTAACATAAGGAAGCAACTAATGTCCAAAAGCTCTCTTCGCTCATCCTTTAATAAGGATGTACTAAATCATAACTGTGTTCTGGGTAGAATAGCAAGCTCACATGCGCGCGCGCGCACACACACACACACACACACACACGACACAAACACCAATACTGCAAAAACATTAGTCTCCCTCAAGCATCTTTGCTGCAGTCTGGCTGGGCAAACTAACCGGGGAGTGATGATCAACTTGTGAAGATTGATACAGCAGGAGCGGGAAGCGCTTTATTACCGGACAGTAGAGGTATATATACATTACTGAATACACAGCTCAACTCAATTTAGCATCATCCAGTTATAGCAATCAGTCATTAAAGAATCATCATCTTAATAATTATACACAGCTTAACTTAATTAACATCATTGGATACAGCAGTCAGTCATTAAGGAATCTCTATAATCTTAATGGCTCCCTGGCATTACTACTCAAACCACTCCTTCTCGCAAAGTGCCAGGCACCATCTTGACTTGTCTATGGCCCTCATCACATCTTTGCCATATTATGTGGCAAATATCTTGGTCTTAGGTATTTTAAAAATAATTCAGCAACTGAATTATGGTATTTGGGGGAGTTAAAACATTTCTTTACTATGCCTGTTACTTTCATACAAAAGGAAGACATTGATTTAGAGTCTAAGCAGGGCAGTGGTTATGATTATGATTTTAAATGCTAACACAAATATATCTTCCAACACTTGATTATAATGAAATATCTTCAAAAGAACTATATGGAAAACTGTCAAAAGTTTGAATGGTTAAGATGAACACACTATTCATATTTCTTAAGAAAGTCCACATGGATATGAAGTGAAGAAAGGTAACAATAATGTATGTATCATTATGAGATATTTGAGGATAAATTGAGATCAAGAATATCAAGCTCCTAAGCAGTGAGAGGAACAGGCTCTGCATTCAGAAAACTTAATTGTGAGTTCACTCATTAATTTGTTCACTATTGGACATGGGGGCTGTAACTCAACTGCTTTTGGCCTAGGGATCATGTTCCCTATTTATTTCATAGGGGAAGAAATAGAAATTATGGGTTGTTCACAGATTTTAAATGAAGAAGGAATTGGGAATAAAATATCTGACACATTTTAAATACATAATAAATCAATCATATCTAAGGTTAATATAGCAGACTACTTGATATTATATATTTAATAAATGGCAATTGTAATGATTTATGTATTGAAAACTGATATAGTAGAATTATGCTAACATTAATAAATAATTATTAAAATGGTGAAATATTTTGTTTCTAAATGAAAAAATAAAAGCAATACATGTTTTATCAGCAGTACATATGAAAATAGACTTCTCTGTCTACTAACAACTCTTCTGTCTATATATCTCTTTTATAATGATAGTATGCAAATAAATTTATATAGTTTGGAAATAATTTAATAAAATGAACACATTATTTTAAATATTTTCATGGTATGGCATATTTTCATTTTGAATATTTTGTATTCAGAGGAAATAATTTGTTATTGAAAGAAAATGAAAGTAAAAGAAATTTGCACACAAAAGTAATCATTATGGAATTGTATATAATATAAAAGAAAGAATATAAAATAATGGTTGTATAAAATAGTGGTTGTACATAAGTAGGAGAATTGAATAATGTTGAAAAAAATGGATAAATAATTTATAGCTGTGAAGAGAATGTTCTTCAAAGATACTTACATAAAATATATTTAATCTGAAAACACATGATAGAAAATTATACAGACAATATCAAAATAATGCAAAGCTAGTCCACTGAAAATAGATTTTCATAACATTGTCAAATGTCAAAGCAAACAAAAAAATTAGGGATGGCAAAACATACAACTTCATTGTTGTACTTTGACATTTGTATCATTTTCAAAATAATATGCAATTATTTTTTTCTCTGCCTCTCTGATCCTACATTTATCTATCTCTATGTGTATCTCAATCTATCTCTCCATCCTTCCTTTGATTTCCTCCTCACTTGCCTTTTATTCAGATCTTTTCCTGTTTTCTATCTTCTCTTTCTTTCTTTCATTCTCCCCCCACCATTCTTGTGGATATAACTCATGTGTCTCTTTATATTAAGTATTACTATCTATACAAGGATTATCTGTTTTCACTTGGCCAACAGGACAATGCACAGTTTTGTAAAAATGTAATGTGTAAGTTAGAAAAGTGCCTCTCTAAGCTCAACCTTCTTTATCAATTTGAACCTCATTTATTTTCTTGTGCAGAAAGAAAAGTTCAGATGTAATTTTCCCTCAAGCATGTATAATTAAACAATACTATTTCACTTGGGGAAGAAAGACAGAGATGTAACAGGGTATAGTGAATGATGGATTAGTTATAAAAAATAATTATTTTTGTCTTAAAAGAAACAAAGTTTTGTTAATTGTCTTGGGAATTTTATAAAATGGTACAATTAAATGCTAGCACAGGCCTTCAAAACACTTCTGTGATCTCAATTAGGTAAAAATTCAACCTGATTAGTAAAGTATCCAGGTCTTGAAATTAAAGTAACAAAATATGCAGACTGATCAGGAAAGCATGTACAACTTCAGCTGCTACAATATTCAGCTCACCTACTCAATTATGTAGGAGACCTAGGGAGGAGTACTGTTGCAAATTTATAAATTATGAACTGGGAAGAAATGAAATGGGCCGAGCCATGAACACATCTTTATTAAAGTGATTAAAAATACTCTCACACACATACACATTTTCAGCAACAACATKAAAAAAAAATTAGTTTGCTTCTGAGATTTGTCAATGAACTAATACCTGAAAAATGTTGGCTTATGACCACAAAGCAATTTAGGTAACAAAAAAACTATGTAGATGAGGCAAATCCTGTTAATTACTTACTTATATGCATAAGAAAAACCAGGTAATCACAATGTTTGGTGGAGGGGTCTATAATACAGAGGTATTCCTGATAATTATCAGGATTCTCATTGTGATGGGGAGAGAATAGGCTCTGAAGTCACACATGAATGAATTTGAGTCTCATCCTGGTCTTCTACTATTTGGGATAATGTGGACATGCTGATGAACACTGAGGTTTCTAGTCATTAGCATTATTAAGTTTAAATTTTGATATTAGAGAAGATAAATCAATCAAAATGCAGACTAGTATATTTCAGAAAGGGCAGTATTTTAATATGAAGAACATTTAAAAGAATTGATATCAAAAGAAATTATATTTAAAGAGGGGGTTAATGGAAAGTCCATTAATATGTAGTTATTTGGATCTTTGTTTCATTTAAATTTGTCTATAACTGTCACATTGAAAATTTCACAGGACAGGGCAGTACTTGATGGTGGAATGTTGATTGAAAATAGCAATTTAATCTCATTTATACTCTCACTTGTGAAAAGAAGCTAATGCTGTATATATTCAAAGTGTTGACATCACAATGGAGTGAGATAATAGAAGTAACACAGCAATGTGAACAAAGTTAGGAGGTAGCTATTTCCACCTTAGAATTCTGGTATTTGTACACACTTCAAAATACATATGTTGAAATTCTAAACCAAAAGGGGGTGGAATTAGGAGGGCAGAGATATTGGGGGAGGGGGTGATTAGGTCATCAGAAACCGCCTCAAATGTGGGATTTTTTTCTTTGTAAAAATGTTTCCAGAGAGATCCCTCACTGTTTCTGTCCTGAGGTTTCAGTGAGATAGTGGCAATTACAAGGAAGTGGTTCCTCACCAGACATGAAATCCACCAGCACTTTGATGTAGCAATTTCCATCCTCCAAACCTGTGAGAAATAAGTTTCTACTCTTTAAAAGCCACTCTGTTGATGGTATTTTGTTATAGCAGCCCCAATGGATTAAGACAATTTTTTTTTCTTTGTTTTGGTCCTGGGGAATGAACCTGGGGCACTCAACCT